GGACAGACAGACATCCGGATTTCAACTCTACTCGTCACCCTGATCACTTTGGTATATATAACCCTATATCTGACTCTTTTAGTTTTAGCACTTACAAACAACCGTTATATAAACAAAACTATAATACTCTCTTTAGCAACTTTGTTGCGAGAGTATAAAAATGGTAGTGAACGACTTTGTGTGGATTACCGTGCTTTGAATGAGAATACAGATTGCTACGTTACGTGGGGCTTGCTATTTCTCATGTCTTGATATGGCTAGCGGGTTCTATCAAATACCGCTACATCCAGATTCAATTGAGCGTACCACTTTTGTCACGCCTGAAGGTCAATATGAATTTTTGACTATGCCATTTGGTTTAAAAAATGCTCCGTCTGTATTTCAGCGCGCTATAATTAAAGCATTAGGTAATCTTGCATACACTGACGCTATCGTGTATATCGATGATGTTTTAATTGTGGCCGAAACGAAGGATGAAGCTTTAGACCGTTTGCAGATTGTGTTAGAAACCTTGAGCAAGGCTGCGTTTTCGTTCAATGTAGCAAAATGTTCCTTCTTTAAAACTAGTATAGAATATCTAGGATTTGAAGTAAGCAATGGACAAATTCGTCCTAATCCACCTCCAAAATCTGTTACGCAACTGAGACAATTTATAGTGTTAGCTTCTTATTTTCGGCAGTTTGTACCAAAATTTTCAGAGATTTTCAAGCCATCGTATTCACTTACCTCAAAGAAAAACTATGATTTTGTTTGGCTGTTGGAGCATGAAAGAATTCGCTTGAAAATAATATCTCTATTAACTCAGGAGCCGGTGCTAACTATATTCGACCCTCAACATTCGATAGAACTTCATACAGATGCCAGCTCAATTGGCTATGGGGTAATATTGTTACATAGAATAGACAAAAAGCCCAATGTTGTCGAATATTTTAGTAAATGTACGTCACCTGCTGAATCGAAATATCACTCGAACGAACTTGAGACTTTGGCAGTCGTCAATGCCATTAAGCATTTTCGTCATTATTTACAAGGTCGTAAATTTGTAGTATTTACTGATTGCAATTCAGCTAGTCGTATAAAATCCGACTTATCACCGAGGGTGCATCGGTGGTGGGCTTTTCTTCAGTCCTTTGTTTTTGATATTCAATATAGAAAGGGAGAACTTATGGCACACGCAGATTTTGTATCAAGGAATCCTTTGATTAAAGAAATTAAAAGTGTGGGAAAAGTAATTGAAAAGCGAGTCGAATTGACTGAGGTAACTGATAATTAGCTAATTTCCGAACAACAACGAGATGCCGAGGTAGCCAAGTTATTAGCTAAGCTAAAAAATAATGAGTTGTCAGAAAATTTAGATAAAACCTATGAATTGAGAAAAGGAGTTTTATATAGAAAAATTCAAAAAAAAAAAAACGGTTAAACCAAATTTATGTCACTGCAAATGCGTATGTGTAGTGCTACTATTTTGTAGGTAACTGTATGTGCCACAACACTGGCCACTGTAAGCTGAATGGCCATCTGCACAGAATGGGCCTATCAGCTTGCGCCAACTGCCGTTTCTGTGACAGGGAGCCTGAAACTCCGGAGCATCTGCTGATCGACTGCACAGCAGTCTGTAGTCGCAGAGCCAAGGCGCTTGGAGTTCTATTTCCGGATAGGGATCGCATTGCCTCGCTAGCGCCTAGCAGYCTACTGGACTTCATTAATGGGCTGGGGCTAAGTGAGGCAATGTAAGGAAGGAGAGGGCACAATAGACCAAAGGTCGCAGTGCATTCCTCATCATCATTCATGTGCCACAACGTTATTTGAAGTAGGCGACACATTGGCAGCATATATTACGGAACGTAAGAATTTAAATGCGCAAATAAGCATAGTAACAGGACTAGAGAAACTGTTACTGAGTGAGGTCTGATCGTATTCTGCGAACAGAGTGAAGAGACTCAGGAACCGTTAGCTACTTTTAGAGCAATGAAAGGGTGCGTATAGAATTAGACGCTATGTCCTCGCAGGGTCAGTGCAAGAGGTGATCTTGATGGGAGCAGAACTCGCTGTGCTCGTAAAAATATAAATAACAAGTGAAGTTATTGAATAAAGTGTAAAATGTAATAGTGTGAAGTGAAGTGATATGGAGACTTCTACAAGTAAATATTCTACATATACATATAGTTGCCGCCGAGAGGTTTTTAAGATAATTGCATTTAAAGTTCAAAAAATAAAATATTTAAAGTGCCTGTTTCTCCGATTTATAATGATTTTTACACTTATATTTTATACTTTTATATTCACTAAAACTACCCTAATTCGTTTCTAATCATTTATTTTATATTAAATAGAGCAAAAATAACTTCAATTCCATATCAAACTATAGTCAAAATCCCTTTATTCATAAAATAACAAAGTGGTTGTAAACAAGCAAAAAATTAGTGTAACCATATTTTGTAATGGAATAAAAATAAGAAAAAAGAAAGATTATGACGCCATAACTAAATTCATTATCGTGTGATAAGTAATGTAAAATCTTTCAGAATTCTCATTATCTTGATAAATCCCGGGGTTCGATCGGGCAAAAATGAGTTGAACGCAAAAGAACTGAGCACGCCCAGGTGTTGATCCGACCGAGGGTTATTTTATTTTATTTATTTATTTTTTTTTTTTGAAGCGCGGCCGCCAATGCAGAAAGGAATTTTAATAACTAATGTGTTATATATTTCCAGTCATTGGGGTATTTATTGTTTTCTTTATTTCTTTTGGTTTCTACAAAATATGAACGTAAGGTAGCACTGATTATTAGTTAGAATGCTACCCTTTTGTTATTGTACGAACAAAAATAAATGAACGAAAGTTAAATGTTGAATAAGTGTTAGTTTTGCACTATTTAATATAAAATAAAGGGTTACAAACGATTTTGTGAGGTGTTAGTGGATATAGAAGTTAAAAATATAACCGTAAAATTCATTATAAATAGGAAAAACACGCATTTTAAATAGTTGAATTTTTGAACTTTAATTGCAAATATCTCAAAAACCATACATCAGCGGGGCACGATTCCGATTACTTTGGCGGAGCGGTAAAAAAAACCGAATTTCCGTATAAATGGGGTATGTCCAGATAGGGAAGCTTCTCCAGAGGAGGAATATCCAAAAATAATAAAAAAAATTACTTATATTTTTTTAAATTTTCACGAATATGCACTAATTTCAAAAATATGCACTAATAACACAACGTATTTCTCTATCTACCATTAAATTTATTCACGTTTTTCACTTTGTATATTTAAATATACACTCTAACATTGAAATAAGTTCACATTTCAATTTTATTTTGTAATATTTCACCTAAATTTATTAATTTAAAAATCACTTAGCGAACTCGGCGTTGCAAAGGTTAGATTGTTTACAATTATGAGGAAAACGAGCGTTGCCACATCTTAAACACCAAATATGTAGGATTCTTAACGATTTTTCTTTGCTTGTTTTTTTTTTTGTTATAATTGAGTTGTGAAGACTTTTTCCACATATTATACATTTTACATATAGTATGTATATGTATAATATGTGATTTATATTTAATAAACACACATAATTAAAACTCTATGATAATATAGTATTATAAAATTTATATATCATGTCGGGATGACTGAAGTACTTTCGCGGAGTACTCCTTTCTGCGTTAAAAATAAAAAAATATATTGAGTTTTAGTTATAAAGTGGTTAAAGTGATTATATTTGTTGGTTACCATGCACTCATATTGAACGAAAATTTTAATTTTCGTACTGTACTAATATACATTACACTTTATTACGTAATATTATTATATAATATTACTTATACATATGTACATATATACAATATTATTATATAATATTACTAGTACATGTATATAATATTACTTATTTGCTTAATAAATTTAAAAAAGAAAATATCCATATGCATGAATAGAGGAATTTCAGCGAATTGCCTTATCATCACATGGCAGCGCTCCATTTCGTCGTAATTTTTGGTAAACAAATGGGGGTTAAAACGAGTGTAAAATGTAATTTTTAAAATGCAGATTTTTTAGGTAAAAAAAAACCTGCTCATAGTGTAAGATATGGAGTTATTTACAAGTTTATAGTGTAATTTAATTAATTTGAAGTGAAAAATGTGAATAAAGTGTGTTTAATGTGGTGAAATAGCGTCTTGAAATATACGAACTTTACGATTTTTTGAACTTTAAGGTCGAATATCTCCTAAACTAAGAGTTCCAACAACCCTATATATTTTTCAATCAGGAGGACTTCCTCTTTCCAACGGTACCTTTAGATGGCGGCGCCAAAGAAATCGAAATTGTGCCATCAGCGGCAACTATATATATTTTCTTAATCTAGAGGACCTTCTCTATCCGCACATACCCATTTTAACAATGAAATCCGGGGATGCTATTCTAAAATTTACCCATCTATTACCCCAATTTTAGCCAACCAAATAAAAATTTTAGAAAAAAACTTACCGGGGGTCTATATCCTCTATATTAAGAGATCCATTATCAGTGAGTTTACTCTGAATATCTTGTTGTTTTTCTTGAATTTTTTCCAGTATGATATCAGATAATTTTAATGTTCGCTTTCCTTCCTGAGGATTTTGAAAACGTTCGAATGCTTTGGCATCTTCTGCATCGATTTCTAAATTATCCATAAAGTCATTTTCAGTGACATCTTTATTTTCGTCCTCTTCAGCAATTTCTCCTAAAATATTTGTTTATTTCGCTAAAAATAAATGTGTATGCATTGCTATTGTTTACGTTTACTAACCTATGTTGACATGAGTGTAGGCTTTTTCCCCCCCTAGGCTAGGGAAATTATCATCGTTAAGTTCCAACTGTTGGGCTTTCGCAGCATCTAAAATTTTTTTGCTTGTTTTACTATCTAGCATCTGAAATAATTGTAATCCACTAATACGAATACCTTTACAAATTTCAAAGTTTTACTAACCGAACTTTCTTCTGCGCGCAAATGAAACTTATCTTTGTTTTTTCGTTTCGTTATTTTACCCTGAACTAATTGCTTCTCCAAAGCTACATTTTTATTTTGAACTAAATTGGCTTTTTTTGGCTTAACCATTCTGTTTTATTATTATTCCAAATTAATTTTGAGAGCTCTTTATAAAATCACACGTGCGTTTATTGTTTTTCTAGTTTTGACTTAAAAATGACATTGCTTTCATTAGAAGAATAATAATGGTTTTGTTAGTGCTGCCGTTTAAAGGTACAAATACGAATTTTTGCTATGTAAGTCAACTATGGGTTAAGTCGTACGTTAATTAATGGAAACTGCTACCAGATATTTCTATTCAAGTTTCAATTGTTTATTTACTGTCAATGAGTTTATTTACTTGAAAAAAAACCTGAAATATGACTAATTTTAAAGAGATTGAATTAGTTATAAGAAATTAATATTATACGCAGATATTGTTCAAATTATTTCTTGAAAGCAAGTGAAGTTTTCTGCCAAATACTTAACTTCCTCAATAAATTAATGCTATAAATTTAACATTTGAGTGGTTCAACTGTTTTATCGACAAAAATATACTTGACAATACAACCCTGTAACTACTGTGAATTTTTTTGACTTGTCATCCACCCCAGATTGCCGAGCATACTTTGCTTTCCCTTTTCTGTTCGGTGTTCCATGAATTTGGATTGAAAAATGAAGGTGTGTTAATCTTTTTTAGAAATATATAGTTAAATAATGCGTTTTAGACGGAATTTAATATGAAAACATATTTCAAATAACGTGCTTTAGAGTTGAAGGGTAGATTTTTTAATTATACTCTAGTGATCATAGAGATAAAAGTTGATCGAATTTTGTCGTAATACTGGACTGCATATCTTTGTATATGATAGTGCATAATTTACAAAAGTCTTCAATTTGCAGCTTAACGTATCTTTCCCGGCAACAGGATGCCAAAAGTTATTCGAAGTTGTGGATGAACATAAGCTTCGTGTGTTTTATGAGAAGCGTATGGGACAAATTGTCGAAGCTGATGTTCTCGGTGATGAGTGGAAAGGATATCATCTTCGTATCGCCGGTGGTAACGATAAACAAGGTTTTCCTATGAAACAAGGAGTGCTTTCGCATGGTAAGTAAAAATATATTTACTTTTTTATACATAAATTAACAATGTATTATATTTTAAGGTCGTGTTCGTCTTCTATTGAAGAAGGGTCATTCCTGTTATAGACCTCGCCGTACTGGTGAAAGGAAAAGGAAATCAGTTCGAGGTTGCATTGTAGACGCAAACATGTCGGTTTTGGCTCTTGTCATTGTTAAAAAAGGAGAACAAGAACTACCTGGACTGACTGACACAACTGTTCCTCGACGACTTGGTCCAAAACGTGCCAGCAAGATCCGGAAACTTTATAATTTAACCAAGGATGATGATGTTCGTCGCTTTGTGGTTCGTCGCCCTTTGCCCGCCAAGGATAATAAAAAAGCTACATCTAAAGCACCAAAAATTCAGCGTTTAGTTACTCCAGTGGTGCTTCAAAGGAAACGTAGACGCACTGCTTTGAAGAAGAAACGTCAAGCCGCCTCCAAAGAAGCCGCAGCTGATTATGCTAAATTGTTAGCACAACGTAAGAAGGAATCTAAGGCTAAGCGCGACGAAGCTAAGAGACGTCGTTCTGCTTCCTTAAGAGAATCAAAGAGCTCGATTTCGAGTGACAAAAAGTAAATAATTTTCACTGACTTCTGTAATAAAGGTTAAACTATATTAACTTGGAAAACAGTTTATTTATATATTTATTACTCTTAAATTGGCTTGATAACTAACAAATACAGGTTTTTAATACATTTGAACGCTTTTCCAACGTTAAATTAAAATGTAGATTATAACTACTTTCTTCTTACACCCTTATATTTCAATGAAAAAAAGAGCCACCGCGAAAATTCGACAGAATTATTCACAACAGGCGGTTCCACGTAAAGGATTTATATCGGATTATAACACCATTTCGCCATAACGATATCAGAAATATTTCTGCAAGGAGCAATGCTCACTAACTTCAGTATTAGAGAAAGTTTTTTTTTTTTCTTAAAAGTTACATTCTTATCTACAATGAGTAGTCATTTACGAGCATTTTAAATTAACACTATAAAATTGTATCTGGTCATAGATTGTCACTGTATATAAGCGGACGGAGTGTAACTTCTAGTTCATCTGCAAAACATTACGGACAAATTATATTAAAAGACCGCAAAAACGGGTTATGCATTTACTTTCATATATATTAGTGAGGAATGGTGCTTAAATAATATTTATAACAAACTTTTGAATTGTACATTATATATATTTTCGGATGAACCATGAATTAATTTCTAATCAATTATATACGTAAATTAACTTATACGTTCAAATGAGGATTTTCTTGATTGCCTACATCATCTGTGTTATTCTCATTGTCATTTTCAATAGGTAAACCTGCTGACCGCATTTGTTGCTCATATCGATTGATTTTATTTTCTTGATCAGTCAAGAGCTCAAGTAGATCCTCTTGATCCTTTTGCAATTTTTGAAGTTCGTCGTTTGCTGTGTTAGAGCGGAGCACTTCATCTTCCAGTTGCTGGCGCAATATTTCAAATTCGCGAGTTATTCTAATGTTTTCTGCACAATATAGATTCGTCTGGAAATGAGCTGCACTTAATGCATTAACCGGTGTACCGTCTCCTGACGGAGAAGTGTTGTTCTGTGCGGCTCCTAACTGAGCTTTTAGCAATGTATTTTGATCAGATAATTGTGTATTAAGGCTTTCTACTTTAGACAGTTTTAGTTCGAGTTCCTCATTTTTTATTTCGAGTCGTCTTGAATTTTGTTGCAGCAAATTAATTTGGCCATCAAGATCTCGAATGATACCTTTATATTGTGCTACAAGCGCAGAAGCTTCAGAGCTGAGTGTTAGTTCCGTTAATTCTATACCATTGACATCAAAGCCGCTTACGATTTTTCCTAATAACGCTTCCAATCCTTTATATAACTTACAAAATTCGTAATCCAGCAAAAGATCAGAGGAGGCCTTTGCTCTAATCTGAGGTTGTTTGCATGCTCGATTATAAGCTTCATGTCTTGATACTTCGCTAAGTTTATTACAAAAAGTTTCTTGCCCTATACGTTTAATTATCAATTGGCAGATATCATCTCGTTTTTGATTGACAAGTGTGTTATCATTAAACTGAATACAAATTCCCATGAGGAACGCGCATAACCCTTGTATTAAATACTCATTTTCATCGTGTTCATTTGCACTAATTTGCGCCGTCAAATATGCCATTGTACCACTTGTGCTGAGAAAAGTTTTAACGGCATTGGAGCAATGTGCCAACCACATGCTCAACAACATCAGAAGACCAACTTTACTTTGTAACTTATAACTATCTTGCTGAAGTAAATTTGTACATTGTTCCAATAGAGTAATCGGATTTCCTCCTCTGGGACTAGCTAAAAGAACGCGCAACAGTTCTTCTTTCTGTGCAGCACTATCGACAAGTCCATGCATAAGAGCTACTGCAGAAAACCAATTGGCAAGTGAATCGGATGAAAAGAGGCCCACACATAACAATTGACCAGTTGAATGACTACTCACTTCTGATTCAGAAGAGGGTAATAACGTCTGTACGACAGCTTGATGGCTCTCCTCGTTCCGAAAAAGGTAGCATTGAAAGCAATACAATACAGCACATCTAAGTGCTAATATCTGCTTCTCGTTTATCATTGACATTAGAAGTACGACAATTGCTGGTCGAGGAGGGTTACTAGGCGCCATAACCATGCTTAATTTATCTTGGTTTTCTTTATCACCTCGAACTATTTCAGCAACTGCATTTATAGTTTCCGTTAGAATATCAGCTGGTACTCCGCTGCCCATTAAAATGCCGCATAGCAAATCGAGGAGATTCGATTTGCGCATAACTTTTTGGCAAGATGATACTACTTGCTGTTGATTACTTGGTGTAACTAAAGCACGAACCACTTGCAACATGCAATGTATATTAGAGACCTTTTGTGGGGACCACCCATTCTCTTCTGCTGCTTGGGTAATACTGAACATTGGTGAAAGCCTTTGGATAAAGGAGCCTTCCTTAAAAAATTGTTGATTACTGGAATTATTTTTTAACAAGTTCAATAAAAGAATTAAACAATCCTCAACAACAATGCCCCCGTCCGAACATCCCTCACTTTGAATAATTTCAAAAATTTTATCAAAGGCATTTTCAAAAGCAACTATCTTTTGTATATTTGAGTTCCCCTTTGTTAACTGAATTAGCAAAAGTAGTGCATCATTTCGAATAACCTCTCGGCTGTCTGAGAGTAAATCCATTAATTTGGATACGCCCATAGGGCTTACCAAAATAATTTCTTGTAAATCACGAGTTTTATTTGCAATCAACGTAGTAATGAGTTGAATTGCGGAACGCCGAACACGAAAATCATATTCTTCTAAGTAAGTCATAATTAAAGTAACATGGTCGTGTACTTTTATAAACATTTCAGTAAATTGCTCTCCAACATTTACTGAAACGGCTGGGTTATCAGTTTCTTCATCGAACTCTTCAGCAGTTGTTATATTACACAAAGTATCTAGGGCATAGCTAATGATTTCTGAATCTTGACTATCATGTTTGAGGATCTGGACCAATGCTGACATTCCTTGTGCTCCAACTTCAATACGATATTTTCTAGATAGCGCCTTCAAAGCCCGACAAGCATCCCGACGATCGTCTAACAACGTTGAACTTAATACACGATCAACTAATTTTTCAACGGTTTCTGCTGCACTAGGTTGATGACCAGGTTCAGTACTTCCAAGCACTGTTTTAAAGCCGCTTTTAAGGAACTCCATCGTCCCACTTTATTTTCATACACAAGAGCTAAAGGTACTAAAGTCAACCAAACAAAAAAAAAAATAGCAATTGATGCAATCTGCCACGGTAAATGTCCACGTCTAATGACAAGTCAAGTACAGGTATGTTAATGATATTTGACTTTCATATAAAAAATATTATTTCAAGGTAGGGAATTTTCTTAAAAGTTGATATTTATAATTAAACATATATATATTAAGGCTGGGATTTAAAATAACATCCCCCTTTTTGTTAGCTGGCAGCCATTTTGTTATTGTATGAATAAATAGTTTTAAACCAAAGTTAAATATTGAAATAAGGCTAATTTTGCACTATATAATTCAAAACAAATGTTTAGAAACGAAAGTAAACAAGTAAGAGGAGCTAGGTTCGGTTGTAAACATTCACTTCTTACACTAACAAATTGCAAGGATTACAGCCAGGGGAGTACCAAGAACATAAGGTTTGCTAGTTTGGGCGAGTTTTCACCCAATTTTATTCAAAGCACAAAGATGCATCGTTGTAAGAACCGATATTTTCGGTAAAAAAAAATCCACCATTGCCTACTTATTCGGTACCGGTGGCCTGAAAAGTTTTAGTTCGATTTGAAAAATCTTTTGTTCATAAGGTGGTCCACCTCAAAGGTACTATTCGTGCAACGTTTTATCCCGTTTCTATAGAACATCATAGATAGAGTATAGTAGAATACAGTTTTTCTGGCAAACCTTGTAACTAATAAGTAATGCCCATATCTATTATTCTTGAAATGCAATATTGGAATTTTGTTGACGTCCTGTATGCTTGGATTAAAATTTGCTCGAGTTCAGCCTTAATTAATGTTTGCCAGGATTTTGAACAAAAAGACACATGAAAACCTTCTGATTCTTCAAAAGAGATTGTATATATAACTTTAAGAAAACCAAATGCTGCATTTGATCATTATTTTGTGTTGGCAGCTCTAAATGTTGACACTGAACATATCTTTCAATTTTGACAGTATATTTTGTTTGATACAAACTTGTTCATTAAATCTTGGCTCAAAAATAGCCACTAGTAAAAGTGCATCGATAAATTTGTAAAATGACAGAGAAATCTATATCAACAAATAATTTAACTGACAACAACGACTGTTTAAGAGTTACAAGTGAAATTAATACTTGTAACGATATTAAGCATTGGTCAAACTTTTCTCAATGGATTCATTGTATGTGTGTCATAACATTCGATCTGAACATAGGGCAAGCTCTCGAATTTGTTTACCCACCTCAATTCGTACCTTCAGAGACTGAAACTGCTAATATATGTTATATGGCATTTCCGGATTCCAACTCGGGGTGCATGGGTGACACAAAATTTCATATACGTCTTCGAAGGATACACAAAGAAAGTCACAACGGAAACCTAAAAAAAATATTTCACTCATATAACTCGGATTGTATATCTGCACTCCGTGTAGACGAATCACATTACTGGGGATTTGTGTATTTCCGCCAAAAGCGAGATGCTAATCTTCCGAGAGGTTATTTTCAAAAAAGTTTTATTTTGGTGACGCATCTTCCATTTTGTAACCTTTTTTATAATATTGTGGATCAACTGGCTCCAAAGTACTTTGAAAATGGCAACTCAATTATAGAAGAGGCTTGTGATCAAATAAATAGATTATGGCCCGCGTTACAAGCAGGCGTTTCCTTGGACTTACAGCTGTTTGATAACATTTATAAAATTAATATACCAACCATAAGTGGTAAAAAATGCGGTACTGGTGGACAAAAAACTGATACAATTGGGAAAACTTCATTGAATGCTTTTTCCACGAAAATTTTGAACTCTGTTAACGAATTAGAATTATATCAATGTTTATGTTTTACCTTGGAGAATTTGTATACTTTATGGGAATTAGTGTTAATTGCTGAACCTATTGTAATTGTTGGAACCTCTCCCGCTGATTGCTCACATATGGTGCACAGTCTTGTTTCATTAATAGCTCCAATTGAATATTGCGCTGAAGCACGACCTTATTTTACAATACATGACAGCGAGTTCAAAGAATTCACCAGGGAATGTGGAAAAACGCCACCACCTGTGATACTAGGTGTAACAAATCCGTTTTTCATAAAGTTACTGAAAGATTGGCCGCACATATTGCGACTAGTCGATAATCAGGTAAAAACGTTTAAGTTTTGATATATATAATATGTGTTTGCCTACTCTCTCATATATACTGTTAAGTTAAATATATAAAAATGTAATGTCTGTCGTCTCTCCGCGTAGACAAGCAATAACTAATTCAAAATTAAAAAACTAAAGTAAAATTTAATTTTTTATATATAGTATATTCGATTGAAATTATTGCTCATATGTATGTCGGTGAATATGTAAAATGACTTCCTGAAATTAGTGAATATATAATACATGTTGAATTCTTGCCCAACATTTTTAAATATTGTATAAAGTTTTTGAAGCCTTCAAATTGCGAGAGTATAAAATGTTCGGTTACTCCCGAACTTAGCCTATTCCTACATGTTTGAATATGATTTTTAAAATATTTTTAGATTAATATGCAGCAACATCAGCAACTGCAAAAAAATATTAGAAATTCGGATTCGGTGACATCATTCAATTCAAGCAGTATAGGCAATATAAAAAAAGGATTACCTAATACAAGTTCCTCTTTGGGACTAAATACGAGTGCAACTATCAGTGACGGTGCGCTCCCGGGATTGTACACAAAATATAAGCCTTTTCTTAAAAAAGATAAGAATTTAATTAAAAAAGTAATATCGGGGGTTAAAACCAAACGACCTGATCATGTGCAAACAGCATTATTGCGCCGAAATTTATTGGAACTTACGCAAAGTTTTATGATACCTCTGGAACGGTATATAGCTTCATTAATGCCCTTACAGAAAGATATAAGTCCCTTTAAGTCCGCCCCAAATGCAAATGCTTTTAAATTGGAGGACTTTTTAGCGACTATTGAACATTCCGGACCACATTTAACTTCGCCTTTAAAAGGCGATTGGAAAGGGTTATATCGTAGATTTTTCAATTCGCCAAATTTTCGTGGATGGTACAACTCAAGACATCGTGAACTACAATTAACCCTACAAGATTTGCAACTTCAAGCACTTTCGGTTGCGAACCTTGAAAAATGGGCGCATGATAAGCAAGAAGTAGAAATAATAGACATGATACTTAAATTAAAACAAAAAATTAATCTATATACCGATAACACTAATAATAGTGCTACTCAAAACCTAATACGTGCCCAAATTAATTGTATGAAA